AGGCCCATGCCTCATGTATTTTATCGACTTTGGTCGGTCGCGGCCGAGATTCGACCCGACGACCTTCCGATCTCGGAGCGATCGCTCTTCCAAATGCTATCGTGACATGTGACGTGTATATGGTGTCTGTAGGAAATCTTACGCATACTGTAGGAGTAGCGTTTTGGAAGAATGGCGCAGACATCTATATTTTTAGCAACCATTGCAAAGCCGTTTGTCAAAATCAACAGCCGATAAAGAGAAAAGTGACTATTGCGTGGAACTGGGTTTTTTATTGGGAAAAACATAATTTTAGAGCCCCATATAAGGCATTTGACCACAAAGGGTGAAAATGAAAATTCTTATACCCGATACATCTATAGCAGGTTTTTAGCTCTACTGGTAAGAGACCAGAAGAGCTTATGCGATAGTAAGGCGTCCGTCGTCCGTCCGTCTGTCTGTCTGTCTGTCCGTCTGTCTGTAAACAATTTTTCAAAACGCTACTCCTCCTACAGTTTTGGTCTGATTTTAATATAACTTGGCACACAAGTAGACTACACTAAGATACATAAAATAGTGCATCGATTTTTGATTTCGATGAACGGTGTTGCCATGGTTACTAAAAATAGAATTTTCTGTGAAATTCCTTGAAAACGCTACTCCTTCTACAGATTTGGTCTGATTTCAATATTACTTGGCAAACAAGTAGACTACACTAAGATACATAAAACAGTGCATCGGTTTTTGATTTCGATGAACGGTGTTGCCATGGTTACTAAAAATAGAATTTTCTGTGAAATTCCTTTAAAACGCTACTCCTTCTACAATTTTGGTCTGATTTCAATATAACTTGGCACACAAGTAGACTACACTAAGATACATTGAAAAGTGCATAGGTTTTTGATTTCAATTAACGGTGTAGCCAAGGTTACTAAAAATAGAATTTTCTGTGAAATTCCTTTAAAACACTACTCCTTCTACAGTTTTGATCTGATTTCAGTATTACTTGACACACAGGTAGACTACACAAAGATACATAAAATAGTGCATCGATTTTTGATTTCGATGAACGGTGTTGCCATGGTTACTAAAAATAGAATTTTCTGTGAAATTCCTTGAAAACGCTACTCCTTCTACAGATTTGGTCTGATTTCAATATTACTTGGCAAACAAGTAGACTACACTAAGATACATAAAATAGTGCATTGATTTTTGATTTCGATGAACGGTGTTGCCATGGTTACTAAAAATAGAATTTTCTGTGAAATTCCTTTAAAACCCTACTCCTTCTACAGATTTGGTCTGATTTCAATATAACTTGGCAAACAATTAGACTACACTAAGATACATAAAATAGTGCATCGGTTTTTGATTTCGATGAACGATGTTACCATGGTTACTGAAAATAGAATTTTCTGTGAAATTCCTTTAAAACGCTACTCCTTCTACAATTTTGGTCTGATTTCAATATAACTTGGCACACAAGTAGACTACACTAAGATACATTGAAAAGTGCATAGGTTTTTGATTTCAATTAACGGTGTAGCCAAGGTTACTAAAAATAGAATTTTCTGTGAAATTCCTTTAAAACACTACTCCTTCTACAGTTTTGGTCTGATTTCAATATAACTTGGCACACAAGTAGACTACACTAAGATACATGAAATAGTGCATAGGTTTTTGATTTTGATGAATGGTGTTGCCATGGAAACTAAAAATATATTTTTCTGTGAAATTCCTTTAAAACGCTACTCCTTCTACAATTTTTGTCTGTTTTCAATATTACTTGGCACACAAGTAGACTACACTATGATACATGGAATAGTGCATCGGTTTTTGATTTGGGTGATCGATGTTGCCATGGTTACTAAAAATAGAATTTTCTGTGAAATTCCTTTAAAACACTACTCCTTCTACAGTTTTGGTCTGATTTCAATATAACTTGGCACACAAGTAGGCTACACTAAGATACATAGAATAGTGCATCGGTTTTTGATTTCAATGAACGGTGTTGCCATGGTAACTGAAAGTAGAATTTTCTGTGAAATTCCCTTAAAACACTTCTCCTTCTACAGTTTTGGTCTGATTTCAGTATTACTTGGCACACAAGTAGACTACACTAAGATACATAGAATAGTGCATCGTTTTTTGATTTCGATGAACGGTGTTACCATGGTTACTAAAAATAGAATTTTCTGTGAAATTCCTTTAAAACGCTACTCCTTCTACAATTTTAGTTTGATTTCAAAATAAGTTGGCACACAAGTAGGCTACACAAAGATACATAAAATAGTGCAATGGTTTTTGATAAGTACAAACCAGTAGAGCTACAGTCTAGACAGAGACTTCTGGTTCATTTTTACCCTTGGTGATTTCATGGCTGTTTTAGAAAGAAGAAAGTGTTAAAGAATTGAAGGGCAAAAAATTAAGGGTAACAACAATTTACCCAAACTTTTTTAAAAGTTGCGAAATTAAAAGACGGTACCAGTGTAAAAAGACTTCTATTTGTGCAAAAAATCAATCTAAGGTGCAGAAAATAGTCTTTTTTCTTTTTAAATAAAACCAAGTGGTGAAACTGTCATCGATGGGCAGGCGGTCAGCTTGTTTTAATACTTCAGTTTTATAGGAGATTCAAAAAATATAATCCTCGGTAACAAAAACGGCGGACTTCTGTGACAGATAGGTGTGAAACCGCCGTGAAATCACTTCGGCGGAGTGAGACAAGTAGCGCTTTTTTAATCGTTAAAATAAAGTCCCAGGCCTTTGAAGGAAACTGAATGATAAATGAACATTGTCCTCGTCTGAGTTTTATGACTGCTACAGACCATGATCGTATTGTTTCGTGAGACTTAATCTTTTTTATTTTCTTTGACATATGCATATATCTGTTACTTATTTGGAAGGTCGTGATTAGAATTGATCTATAGGGTTTATTTTTTCACAAATGTTCATAGAAACTACCTGTTTTTACATTTATGGTCGTTTTTTGAAAAACGGTTTGTATTTTCATGGTTCACCGTTAATAAGGAAAAGTCTGTTGTTTTGTAAGGTTCTTTAATAGTGACAATATAGCGTAAAAGATATAAATAAAACAGTCAAACAAAAAAGAAGACATATTAAAAATTTCATAACATAAACATAGATATGTTTTTTTTTCAAAACGTCACTTAAAATGATAGTCTAAAATATCAGATTGAAACCAATCAGGGAGAGAGAGAGAGAGCGCTCGCAGATACACAAAATGTACTTCCGGAATTTTTTTTTTCATTTTTCGTTTATAAGATGAAACGAAAAATGAAAAAAAAAATCCCCGGAAGTACATTTTGTGTATCTGCGAGCTAATACGCAGCTAATTTCTGGCTATCGATTCAAAAGTAAATTTACTTAGGTAAGGGTTTATCTTTTTTCTTTTTTTAATTTCCATGAATGAATTTGCCATTATTACAAAAAGTGGATAGGAAAGGGAAAAAATGTCTATTTTTGCCCCAAAGTACTAGTGTCAGATACACGGTATCCTACTAGCTTGGGCTCAATCGGTAGAGCACTGGACTGGCAAGCCTGGCCCAGCAGAGGCAGTTACATGTCTCTGTAACATTGAGCGCCCACGTTGGGACCTGGGTATTCTATGGCGAGTGATCCCAGAACTTCGCCCCACTGGCGTCGGCACTCCAAAAGAGATGAGGACATCTCATTCTCTGGAAGGGGACGATGCGGTATAGTGCTAAATAAACAGATTCCTATACTAACTTGGGCTTGTAGGTTAACCATTTAGCTCAATCGGTAGGGCACAGTACTGGCATGCCTAGGGCCCAGGGTTCAATCCCCAACAGAGACCGTTAAATGTCCCCGTTGCACACGTTTGTCTCCAAAGATGAAAATGAAAATTCCGAAACCATCAACAGGACACCATCAGCTATTTCTCAAGAGATGATTAGGCTACTTTGTATTTTGTAAGAAGTGTTCTTGGAATCAGGGTCTTTTTATATTTAAAAAAAAATGTCACTTTTCGACCCCTAGGGTGAAAATGAAAATTTCGAAACCTTATTGTACATCTACAGGACAAAAACCAATAATGATATAGGAAAAATTGTCAAATTTCCAATATTTCTGCAGAAAAAGCGAATTGAAATATCAGCAATACATTTTCTTATTGCATATTGATCAAAAAATATATTTCAGGTTAAAAACGATAGGTATCCACTATCCAGGCATTCAGAGAAATTGTCATGATTTTTATACTTATTTGGTTTTTTTTGTCTTCTATTTCCGTCAGGTATTCTATAATACATAGTGAAAAAGGCTTTTGCTATCATTGTAAGACACCACAAATCACTTCTTATTTGATATCATGCTAATAAGCATTGGTATCTAAGGCTGGATTCAAGAAAATCTTATTTCTCTAAAACTGTACTATTTTTTCCTTATATAGGGTACAAATGTCAACTTTAAAAAAATTTTCATTTTCAAGCTTCATTTTGATGCATTTCAAATTAAATATTGATTTTAGGAGTTATCCTTCCTGGCTGAGGATCGGATATCCTTAACAAAATGCCACATACAGGCGCGGATCCAGGATTTTTTTCAGGGTGGTGGTGGTGGGGGTGGGGCGGGTTCTAACCCAATCATACAGAATTTCCAACCCCTGAAATGCGTTTTCTAAGGGTCCAAGGTCTCTTTTGCTTGGTATAGTATATACATTTATTTAACAACTCTGCAAATACCGGGGAGAGGGGGGGTCCGGACCCCGATATGGTTTCCCACCTCCTTACGTATTTTTTTAAAGAACTATTTCTTCAATTTTCTGTATTTTCAATCTCTTATCACATTACCTAAAAATTCCTGCTCAAAACCACATTGCAAATTTTGATTAAGAATTAAAAATTTAAAAAAAACATTAGAAGGGTGTGGGACATTTTTTGCTTACTCCTTATAAGAGTGAGTTCCCTTTGAAACGCTCTTCTTTTAATAGAAATACGTATAGTATATGTGATACAGGTCGGCCCGAAAGTTGCCTCTAGGAGGGATAGTAAACACGAGGAATCGGTATATATAATCTAATAGCTTTTAGGGTAACAGACTGATTTTAGATGATAGTCATATTTCTCATTCAATCAATAGCTTTAATTTGATCCTGTGAACGTCATCATGAGGAAGGTCTTGACTTACCTTTCGAGAGCAGTTACAAAATTTCCATCGCAACATCAGTGTCATTTTAACAAGTTGAAGAGGAGTATATTAGAAACAAGTAATGATAATGTTATTGTTAGCCTGTTTGTAGCCGTGTATTTGAAAAGTAATTATTTAGATAAATATATATACAGTGCCAAATTAAGAAAGTTGTTTATAAATGATTTTTGAAACACTTTTTCTTTGTGTTCTTTTGCAGATCACTGCCTAATAGTATTTTCTCACTGCTTACATGATAATAAAAACCAAAGGCCACCTTGGAACTATGATAAGCTGACAAACTGGGGCTATGGTCAAAAAGATGGTATGTTTTAAATTATTTGAGCAGAAATTGACTCACAGCTATTTAATGTTTTTATCTTACAGCAAAACTTAAATTAATATTGTAGTTCCATTGTTTGTGTTTGAATTAGCTGCAGAGCTGTAGCATATTGGTCAGTCATTTACCTTTACTTTAACCAACGTGTATATTTGAAGTATTTCCCAACCCTTTAAAGTCATCTTTACAGACCAATAAACTTGCTTGTTTTGATATTTTAGTCAGATTCAAGCAAGCTTTATTAGTCAGCCCCAGGGCTGACTAGTTACGTTAGGATGAAACTGCAAGTGCGCTTGCGTTGATCGGAATTCTGGGAAAAAAGATTTGCACAAATTCTCCAACCAGAGGGCGTGCTTCTTCACGCACACTCACGATCTCGATCTATTTATAGACTGCATTGTTCTTCGTCGTTCTCGAAGAAAATTTATGACGACTGTACTTCTAGATGGGATATTTGTCAGTTTTTAAATCATACTATGAAAATATTTCATTGCTTCTAACAGAAGATAAGTACATTCATTCCCTCAATCGCCATTGTAAGCCGAAGATTCAAATTGTGAATATTCCTCTGGATGCCTGATGCAAGACTCCCTCGATCAATATTCAATACCTTGCATAAGACATGTACGGGTCGGAATTCACACAACAATCCACTTGCCACAAAGGTCCCAAAATAGTGAAAAAAATAACGATTATTTTTTTTTTCACTCTAATGATAGGCCTAGAAGTTATGAAAACATCAGAAGACCACCGTAAGACAATATGGTGATGGACGTGCAAGTCCGCTTGTGCACGTGAACCGCGCCCACATTTGAGAAACTGACCACAGTGGATATGCGATAGCTGAGAGAACTGTGCTGATTTATAGACAGGGTCAACACCCCCCCCCCAATGAAAGGAGAGGGGGGAGGATGGATTCCAGTATTTTAATATATAGTTTTGCTATGATGGTAGACGTACATCATCAAAGACATTTTATGTATACGTATTTACATACTGCATGTATAAACATATTTTGAATTGTTTTCTGTGGCGTTCATTACTTTTTGGGAAGCAATTCTTTTCTTTCCTAATAACACTAAAATGGATGCTCAAACTTAGAAATTGAGTCAAATAAACATGCAGTATGCCCCCCCCCCCCCCTTTCCACATCATGCATTGCCTCGAAATGCACAACTGAAAACTGTTATTTGATAATATTTAAAAACAATCTAACACAAAGTCTACCTTCCTTTTATTCATCATAATCTATATCATTTTTATAGAATTTAACGTGATCTTATTTGCCATGGTGGCTTTTAATTGTTCATTTACCGGTATGAGATGTGTCATGTTGTAAATTTTGAATTTACCGGGTGGCAGTAAATACAAAATATACTGCCACCCGGTAAATTCAAAATTTACAACATGACAGATGAACTTTCTCTGATGTCTGAGCCGAAGAGAATTTATGTAATTATTGGAGATCATTGTAATGATCACGATGCAGATTAACTAAAATTTATTCTATGCTTTATCAGGCACGTAGCATCGTTTTTGAAAGTGGGGGGGCCAACCAGAGAAAATTTTTTTACTTACCTACTTACTTACCCCCCCTGGCCCCCCCGGTTACTACGTCCCTGTTTATTATTTATTATGTACAGCATTAAAAAATAATTAACTTTCTTACAATGGCATTTATTACATTTAAGGAACACAACATGATGTATAGATCAAATCATAAACCATTACAAAACAAGAGAGAAACTCTCTGTGTTCCAGTGGCTGACCCTCAGCTTTTTTATAAAAGCTAACCTTGTCTGTCTTTAGAGATGACTAAAAAGAGTTGGGAGGTGGATATACAGGTTGAATATAAAGTGGGCCTAATGTCTTGAAATGGGGTTTGAAATTGCATCTTTTTTGCATTATGAGATCTGTAGCATTATGGTCAAAGACTAATATATAAAACCTGCAGTTTTATTTGAAAATATTGACCTGCATAACTCAGTAATTAGAGCACCTAATGACTTATGATGCTGGATTCCCAGGTTCATTTCAGTAAAGTCCAACCATATCTTTTTCATAATTATATATTCATGTATTGTAAATTTTCAATATACTGTATATGTATTGTTAAGTGTATACATGTACAATGTTTGGCGGAAATTGATGTTTGAACTAGTTAGCCTAGATTTTATTCAGCTCGTCTCTTAATGTAATTATTTATGTATGTGTGTGCAAGACATTTGCATTGTACTTGAATTAGCAGAAGTTTCTCTCCGCCAAAAGTCGAAATAGAATACGCAGGTGAATGTAATACATTTACGGTGTGTTTATAATCATTTCTTTCTTTTCCTCCTTTCCATACTGCACTAGAAATATCATAGGAATAGTTACATCTTTCCTCATACCGGTATATATTATACAATTATTGCCGTTTTTTGAGGTCAATACAATGATTTAGCCATCTGAGGAGTACAGTATTCACCGACCCGAAGGGCGAGACATTTGCATTGTACTTGAATTAGCAGAAGTTTCTCTCCGCCAAAAGTGCTAAATAGAATACGCAGGTGAATGTAATACATTTACGGTGTGTTTATAATCATTTCTTTCTTTTCCTCCTTTCCATACTGCACTAGAAATATCATAGGAATAGTTACATCTTTCCTGATACCGGTATATATTATACAATTATTGCCGTTTTTTAAGGTCAATACAATGATTTAGCCATCTGAGGAGTACAATATTCACCGAGCCCGAAGGGCGAGGTGAATATTGTACTTCGAAGTTGGCTAAATCATTGTATTGACCAAAAAACAGCAATAATTGTATATTATATGATTCACTGATAAAATGACAAAGCTCATTACCAGTACTTGTTTGCATTTAAACAATTTGTATAAATTTGGAATTTCCCGATCTATTTTGAGATCAATGTAGAGGAAATAAATCCTTGTATTCACCTGGAACGTCACGTGCAGGTCAATACAACGTAGTATTTTTCTAACATAGTTGGATCTCAGCCAATCATTCAGAGAGATGGAAATTATTCAATCATATAATAAAATATAATATAGGTCCAGACACCTGGCAGCAGCACTTCCCAGAGGGGGCAGGGTACCAGCAATCTCCCATTGACATAGATACCAGCAAAGTTCAGTTTGATCCCAGCTTGGCTAACTCCCCTCTAAAATTTAAGTATGGCATTTGTCAAGGAGCAACAGTAGACAATACAGGGAGATCACTCAAGATTAACATCAACCAATCTTCAGGTGCAGTACATACAAATATTTTATTGTTGTTTTTAGGACTTAAAGAAATGAGCTTTTTAGTTAACATGTAAAATGTACATTCTGTGATATTATTCAATTATTATTTGTGTTATAGTAGGAGTAAGATTTTCTTAGCTGATGGTCAGCATGTATCCTGTATTTACTGGTAAAAAAAAAAAAAAAACTTTTTTTGAAAATATAATGAAGACATTAAATGAGATTGCTGTTGACAGAGTTGACAGGAGGTCCATTGCGAGATACATTTCATTTGGAGCAATTTCATCTTCACTGGGGCTCAACTAATGACAAGGGATCAGAACATACAATAGATGGCAAGCTTTTTGCAGCCGAGGTAAGAATGAAACAATGGTCAGTTGATCATTAAAACAGATTTCATAAGAATAAAAAAATAAGACTGAAATGAAATCTCTCCATGTCTGGTAATTGTCACATTCAGATTCTTATTCTAGAAAGGTAGAAAAATAGGTTTAAAGGGAAGCAATTCCTACAGATGTTTAGTGTACTTTTACTAGCTTGATAACTAACTCCAACATGTCCAGAGTATAATTGATTGTTTATCAATAGTGGCATTTTGTTCACTGGAACCTGAAGTACGGGAATTTCCTGGAAGCAGCCTATCAGCCTGATGGTCTGGCTGTTGTTACATACATGGTCAATGTGAGTAGAATTTAAAACAATAAACAGAGACTTAAAATATTCTCTTTCTTGTAGGGAAACAACACCTTGCATTTCACATTTAATATTTATATCTATCTAGTCAGCCAGGTGCATTAAAATTAACACCTGCAGCTGGCTTGTTAGTTAAAAGTAAAAGTAGAAAAGAAATAAAACAAAATTTCAATAACTTATATCTGATGAGAATTTGTTATATTGCTATTTATTTTAGGTTGGTGCTGAGCACAAAGAATTTAAAAAACTAACAGATGTTTGTCCCAAATTAGAGAAAGCATATACGTCAGTGAAACTCACTCAACCTTTCGAGCCACTAAAGATGCTAAAAAGTATGTACAAACTCAGTTCTATAAACATTTATATGATAAAAATCAATGCAAATGAAGATAAATATGTGCCTTTTCTGACAACCACAATACTGTGATCACTAAGATTGTTGATACATTTCCCCACAGATGATGTTTCTCAGTACTGGACGTACCACGGCTCCCTGACCACGCCCCCTCTCCTGGAGACTGTCACCTGGATCATATTTAGGAATCACGTCGAAATCTCCCAAGAACAGGTTATTATTTAATTACAAATATCCGTACAATATTTTCTTTGGTTCCTAAATAGTATACAAATATTATGTATCATAATGATAGGTTAGTTTATAAAATATTAATGATTAAATGAATAGAAAATAAATGGTGAATTCCAAAAAATGCTTATTCTTAATTGTTTGATTTTAGTTGACTTGATGTTAACTGCTAATTTTGAAATGACTGAGCAAGTTTAAACCAACAAATAGATGCAGAGCTGCCAACATTCTGAAATGATAAATAGTAAGGCGGGGTCTAGGGACCACCTAGGCCCCCTGCCGCTGAAGATGTTTTGTAAATGGACATGTAATCTGAGGCATGATTCCATTTTGTTTACTTTAAAACATTGACATTAATGTGAACGGCCTTCTAAAACCGAAACAATGATACAAGCAAGCGTTGTAAGAATTATGAATATATTATAATAGTAGAAACTAAAGACTGTCAGCTATGAAAATACCGGTATTATATACTTTGAACGAGAAAAACTGAAATCGGAGGAATATAGAGAGAAATCGTAAGGCGTATTTTACACGCTGATTTCGTACGCCTTACGCCAAAATCGTAAGGGTTGGCAGCTCTGTAGATGAAGGAAAACATAATTATGTTTTAAATATCACAATTCCCATCCCTCTGTATATTTATAATGAGGAATAAACCCTGTACTAAATTTGTGAAATTTATCTCCAAGGGTTCAGGTAATATGCACTAGGGCAGGGCTAAAATGGTTACATATACCAGGTATATATTGAAAATATGTTTATAGCCTATTGATATATTGACTTCAACCTTGCTTTAATAAGAACATATTTTCTACTCAGTATTCTTTACCAGGATTCACAAAAAAGTTTTATATTTTGCTGCTAGGCTATTTTTGCTCTGTTAAGAGTTGTCTTTCTTTGGGTTATGTGCTAATACTTTCTGACTATTTACAGATGGATGCTCTGAGAAAACTGAAATTTCCAGAGGGTCAGTGTATGGTGGATAACTGTAGACCCCCTGGGCCTGTCCACCAGAGATCAGTCAGGGCATCATTCCAAGAATCCTAGACTCAGTAACAGCTACTCACCAACAGCTACAAAAACTGCCTATAATACCATGTTTACTTCAGACCACTCAGTCATACTCTGACTTTGTGGGGTCAATGTATAGATTAGAGTATTATGGAAACTGATTTCTCTCTTATGGAGCTGGATTTTAGAGAGCGGAAAACCACTGATTCCAACACTTTTAATGACTATTTATGGCTTCATTTTGAATACTTATTTAATACATTTACAGAGTATATATATTTTGAATTGGAGTGAAATGCAATTTTTCTATTGGTTTTTCTATGATAGTATTTTTTTCTTGCATAATAGTAACAAATCTTCTTTATTTAATTATACAGTGTGTGAGACTTTCTGCTGTGCTGTCTCTCAGGTGTAACTGAAGTTGTGACATATTTAATATTTATTAATAAATTCATACAATTGAAATATGTTAAAGAATGTACTGTTGATTGAACAACATTTTTGACAAGGTGAAATAGGAAAGAAGCAGATCAACCCTGAAAAGACACATTACTACGAAAAAGCTATTCCAAATATCTATATTATTATATTTTTATGATGTATTATATTATTATATTATATAACTTTGTGAAATCCGGTAATCTGATTGGTCAATACGAAGTACTTATTTTTTAATAACGACCGCTGAAAGCGAATAATGACTCGCACGAGCTGCCTCGTTTTCACTTTCGCTTTAGACAAACATGGAAGTTCGCAAGTTGAAGGTGAGGAAAATTTAAAACATATAGTGAAGAACTCTGAGACTGATAATACAAACCAATTACTAGGATATTTGTGAATATTTTTCAGGAATAATTAGCACATACCATTTCATGGTTGAGTTCGACCTTTTCACTCAGCGAGCAGAGTTTTGACGTTGTTTACGCGATTACGGAGACTAAAGAAAATATATACAAGCATGCCATGTAAGATTGTATCTATTCTTAGAAGACATAGGTATTTATATTTTGTCAGTGCATTTCGTCTGCAAGTATAAATGAGAGCGATTCTCAATCTGGGGGAGGGGGTGCTCTGTGTTATTCGGAGATAGATATCTTGCGTCATTATTATGATATGGGAAATTTATGCCGAAACAATTTCCTCTGAGTAATATTCAATAAATTCTGAAACATTTACATTCAACTTATTTATGGTTAAAACTATCTCTGAAAATAATAGGATGATATACATTGCATTAATAAATTTGGGAAATTATTATTTATATAATATAATAAATATGGACTCAATGCAAATTTTATAATGACCCAGGATGACAAATATTGAGAGAGAGAGAGAGAGAGAGAGATCCTGGGTCATTATAAATGCATATTGACCTACATTGAGTCCATATTTGTATAATAATTACTTATTTATTAAAACATCAAATTTTGCCTTAGAGAGAGAGAGAGGGGGGCTAAGCTCCATTTATTTTGTATTGAGTTCAAAGAGCAAAATGTAGGGAAAATCTAAGGTGTTTCATTCATTTGACTAATAATCAAAATATATAAACAAAAAGTATAAATATATCAAATGAATGAAGTTTTCTGTGTGACAATGAAAAAGAAAGATAACAGATTTTACCCAGCAGTTCAGTTGGGATAAGAGTGAACATAGACCTCTAAGATATCAGAGGTGGGGTCAGGTGCCATGAAGGAGTAAGCATCCCCTGTAGACACGAAAAAATAAATGTAACTATTATTATAATTGATAAAATGTCAATGTAACTTCAAGTAGATTTTAAGGCCATGGCAAGTGTTTCCCTCAGTTGTTTAATGCCAGAAGTTCAACATCTAAGAGATTAAAAGATCTTAAAAGGTGTCCATCTGCCTCACTCTAGAAGACATCCAGTTGGACACGTTATTACTGAGGCAGGCTTATTATCAAACTTGATGTAAGCTTAGATTAATTAGATTTATTGGTACCATGAGTGGGTCATAATAGCTCTAGCTATTTTCACACGTTTTATACATTGAATAAGTGTATTCCTTTCAAACTCTAGAATAAGTGCCCAGTCCTCATAATGAACTTGGAAACATGTTGCTGCTTTATAAGGAGTTTCTTCTGTAATTTACCAGAAGAGCATATCAGATTCTCCGGTCGTCTGATTTCTTTTAATTGAAAGCTACCACCGACTGGATTCTCTTTAGAGAAATAGATATCTATGGCACGCTAAATTCATAAAAATGAGATAATCATAGTTTCACAGTCGATAAACTAGGTTTATCGGTTGTAAACTATAGTTTACGGACTGTAAACTATAGTTAACAACGTTAATCTATATTTTACATCTGTAAACGATAGTTAACGCGATAATCTATGTTTCACAACCGTAAACTATACTTAACATCGAAAACAATCATTTGCGATCGCAAAACATAGATTATCTGATAAATATAGTTTCACGATTTGTAAACTATAGTTTACAAACTGTTAACTATAGTTAACGATCTGATAAATATAGTTTCACGATTTGTGAAACTATGATTAACAACTCTTAACTATAGTTTACGATCGTAAACTATAGTTTACAAACGTGAATCTATGTTTATCAACAAAATCTATTGTTAATGCTTTATTCAGACAGATAAACTTAGATTAGCATTCGTAAACTATAGTTAACGACCGTTAAATATAGTTTTACAGATGAAAACTATACTTAACGAATCGTTAACTATACTTAACGAATCGTTAACTATAGTTTACGGTTTGTAAACTATAGTTTACAGTCGATAAACCTAGTTTATCAATTGTGAAAATACAGTAAAACCAGTCTAATCCGACATGCACTGGGAGACGAATGTTGTGTCGGAATAGACAGAGTGTCGGATTGCATTGTGTTGAAAACAAGGAAAATACTAAAATGGGAAAGAAATTTAACGTCGGAATCCACAGTGTGTCGGATTATTCTGGTGTCGGATTAGACAGTTTTCACTGTAGGTTTATCTCATATTTGTGAATTTGGCGTGCCATAGATATCCACTCCTCTAAAGAGAATACCACCAATGAATTACCGTCAAAATGTCTCATCTTCTTTTGGACAAACATTACCGAATTCCGGAAGGTTACTCACGTTAGTTAAATGTATGAAATAATCTCATAAACTTAATTTTAAAATGTAGACAATAAGATTGTTGTCTAGATCTACTTGTATATATTAGGTTTCCATCTCAGACAGGTTTGGGTTTCTTTAGAAGAAACAGTTTTCGCTACCAATAACATTAGCGCAATGGATTTTTCGGGTAAACAATTGACCTAGCGATCACTAAGATTAATTAATTGTAGGTAAGCGTGTGACTATTAGTGACGATCATGACACATCTAAACGCATGATGACTCTAAATTGATCACAGGTAGTCTAGCCGTCAGTCACGTAAAATAAAGACCTATATCGTGCGTTTTCCTATTTAGTATTGCACAGCCTTTCATGGAAAAGGGTGGGATGGTTTCTATGAGGAAAAATTAGAAATAAACTGGAGTTTTAGACATTTTAATTAGTGAGTGTTGATGACGTCTGAAGTTATCACTCTGCATTTGACACTTAAAATTAGAATTTGATCTTTTTATACCCTACCATGACCGATAATTTTTCTGGAATAATGAAAAAGGTGAGAATAACAAACAGTGATCCCAAAAATCCAAATACAAATCTGTGAAAGGTTGATTAACACGGACCCCGTGGGATCGGGTGCTAAGGAGGAGTGAACATCCCCTGTCGAGGGGTCACAACCGCTTTGATCCCTTTATATTAATCAGGTAGATCAGGAAATATTCCGTAGTCAAATTTAGCATTAAAAAGGGACATAACATTGATATGTACCAAGTCGGCTAAAATGCTACACAAATATTGGTTATTTTTACTAACAAGGACGATTATTATTACCAGCAAAGGATGCTGACTTAAAACAATTTTGTTGAAATCCCTGTAACATCAAATTATCTGTCAAAAGCCTGCTTCGATTTTAAAACTAATTTTATTTGAAGCATGCCCTTAAAGCCGCTTAATCCGAAACAGGCACATATTATCTTACACAATAAAAGTACGTCATTACATAGATAATATATAAAATTAAATTATAAGATTGATTTAGTTTACTACAACAATCTTTACATGGAAAACATAGATCAAAAACCTTTATTGACAAACAGTTTAAGTTATTTTTTTTAACTTTTGAATTTTGATATCTTTTAAAAGAAAAAGACTTTGGAGATATAATTTGACAAAAGTTGAAACAATTTATTGACCATTATTTTTCAAGAAGAAAAACGAATATATTTTTTTCGCGATTAGAATCGGACTAAGCGGCTTTAAATATCGAATAAGTTGGGAAGGTAAACACGAGATGCAAGTGCTAGAGGGATATAACTGCAAAAATAAAGAAAGCTGACGATTTTTCTTTCTCTGTTTAAGGTCTTGAGAAATAGTAAATTAAATTGTCCAAAGATTGTTGATTAGAATTTATAAACTTGTAAATAGTCATGTAATAATGTTCGTATTTTAAAACAACTTTCAAATAACTTCTATATGAACGTATCTTTAATTTTGTCTAGGTTTTTTTACCCTTATTATATCATAGTGGCACCAGTAATAGTTTGTAAAATGAAGGATATGTATACAAATATTCATAACAGTCAATACGACTTTTCAACTTTATACAACCCTTCCCCGCGATAAATTAAAGTTAAGATTTTTTGATATCATCGACAGCTGCTTTTTTAATAAAAATGGAACTCGAAAATGTACTTACCTTGTCATTGGTCATTTGCAAAATTATTTTGTTAAAAACATTCTGATTGTACAAACAAGTACTCTGAAGTTGACAACAAAAAGATGCTTGAGTTTCTGATTGACAATATCTACATGTATGTGGTTTTTGGAGACCAGATCTTCCAACAATCTATTGGTACCAATTGCACCCCGTTATTAGCAAACCTAATTTTGCAAAATTTTGCACCCCGTTCTTAGCAAACCATTTGTTTTCATATGAAGCAGATTTTGTCCAAAATTGTGTACGTGAAAAGAAGAAAACACTTGTTGTGGTCATCAACTCGACATTTACATATATAGACGACATATTGTCAATTATTTAAAATGGTTATTTCCATTCTCATGTCGATACGATATATATACCTTGAAATAAAAGATACTTCAGTCTGACACATCTGTTTTATTTTTGGATATTTTACTTGAAAAAGACATAAATGGTAATCCAACAACCAAGCTCTATGATAAATGATTTTCCAATCGTCAACTTCCCTTACTCATGCAGCAATATACCTTCATCACCTGCATACGGAGTTTATATCTCTCAGTTGATTTGATACGGAAGAGCATACTCTACGTATGTACAATTTCTAAAACGAGGTTATTTATTTGCAAACAAGTTGATGAAACAAGAATATCAGCAGTCTCGTTTAAAATCAT